GAGGTATATTTATGGTATAATGAGGACTAGATGATAAATGATATGATTCTTCATGATGATAAGAAAAGACTGTAGTATATTTACTTTTTTTTTCTTCGATCAAGTTTTTCCCACGAGATTTTCTTGACAAAGTTTTAATGAGGCAACACATGAATACTCCACTAAAGATGATCTGTTTGAGGGGGAGCAATGATATGCTTCCACAATTTTTAGGTTTTGTCCCACTTGGTTTTCCTGACACGTTGAAGCAAGCGGTTTGTGATGGCCACAAGCTACACTTAAAGATGTTCGGGTTGGGTTTTGTTCAAATATGTTTAGGAAATAGTCATTCAATAGGGAATGTTATGAAATATCAACCACACAAATGAACTGATATTATTAGAAACGGGGGAAGAGAGTGCGGTCCCACCAGATGAAGGCGCACCATAAGAGGGTGAGCCTAGATGCACCTTAGTGAGGTTCCATCCCAAAACCAATTGGTGATGGGAGGAGTAGCTCACTAGGCTTATATACTAGACTCATTTTCCCTGTAGAATCAATGTGGGACACTCACAAGTGATATTCCAACACGCCCCCTCACTTGTGAGTCCTTCGTAAGCCCAAGCCCAGAGCAGGCCGGGTAGAGAGAGAGTCATTGCAGGTCCTAGGACAGGCCCGCTCTGATAGTGATACCATATTAGAAACGGGGGAAGAGAGTGCGGTCCCACCAGATGAAGGCGCACCATAAGAGGGTGAGCCTAGATGCACCTTAGTGAGGTTCCATCCCAAAACCAATTGGTGATGGGAGGAGTAGCCCACTAGGCTTATATACTAGACTCATTTTCCCTATAGAATCAATGTGGGACAACATTGAGATGATAGAGTCCATCTTTTAGTTCAGCAGAACCAATCATTATGTGTGTTGTCATGTCCTGTAGAATGCAGTATGATGATACAAATTGAACAACACAATTATTGGATGATGCCAATTTAGATACAGAAATTAAGTTGAACTTAAAATCTGGTACATAAAAAGCATTATGGAGGACTAAAGTAGAAGACAATTGAATATGACCTACAGAACATGCTTTGGTGACATCACCATTTGGTAAATTTATATGTATGTTGCTAACAGATTGCATAGAACTGAAAAATGATTCATCACATACCATATGATCAGTTGCACCAGTGTCTAAAATCCATGCATTTTTAGATAAATGTTTAGACACTAAGCATGAGTAAGGAGTAGAGATACCTGAGAGAGCAGGAAAAGCAGTAGCAACCACAGGTGTTTTATTTGGTTCTGGTGCTTTTTGTGTCTCCTGAGACTTCTTAAAGGCTAAGAACTCATTGAACAACTCATTAGTCATGGAAGATGCATCATGAGTAAAAGTTTCAGAAGCAGGTTCAGTGATGGAAGTATGCAACATGTTAGCAGAATGTTGAGGATGTATTCTAGGACCCCTTGGACCAGTCCAATGGGCAGGATATCCAATAACTTGGTAACATTTTTCAGAGGGATGAGGGTAACCACAGTGAGAACATTTTGCTCTTGGCTTTTTGTCTTTGGTGAAAGATGGTTTCTGATTTTTGTAGTAGTTGGGAGCTGTTTTGGCTAGCATTGCCATAGGGTCTGATATGGATGTGTTTGTGTTGTGTAAGGCTCTTTGAGATTCTTCTTGGAGAAGGAGACTGTATATTTTGGTTAGGGTTGGGAGAGGGGAAGATAATAAGAAGTGGCTTCTCAGGGATGCATATGATTCATGAAGACCAATGAGAAATTTCATAACACAGTCTTGCTGTTGAGATGCAGCCATAGACTCAAAAATGTTACATGTACAAGATGTGAAAGCTCCACAGTGACATCGAAAAACAGGTCTATAAGTCACATATTCATCCCATAACCCCTTAAAAGCATTATAATACTGAGTGATAGACAAGGAACCCTGATCCATGGTGCTTAGAGATTTTTCTAATTGAAATACCCTAGGACCAGAACTCATTGCATATCGATTTTTAATCTCATCCCAGACCTCTCTGGCAGAAGTGAAAAACAACAGAGATTGTCGAATTTCCTTCGATATAGAATTAAGCAACCAGGATAGAACAAGATTATTAGATCTCACCCAGGCAACATAGAGTGTAGGATTATCAGTCGGAGAGGGGGATAAGATAGTACCGTCGACAAAACCCCCTTTGTTCTTGACACTGAGCGCCATGAGAACGGATCTGGACCAGGAAACGTAGTTCTCGCCATTGAAGGACTCAGCAACGATGATAGCCCCTGGATTATCGCTCGCGTGCAGGAAATATGGAGATGAAGGATCGTCTGTGGGATTCAATGTAGCGGCCATGGAAATTTGTACCGAAAGTCACAGAATATGAATAAACTGAAGAGAATCAGCCAAATACGAACAGATCGAAGAGATGTCGACCAAATATGAGACGATCGAAGAGATGTCGATCGAAAAAAAAACAGATCGAGTTTCAGATGTGGAAACCCTAAAAAAAATGGCGATTGAGTTCTCGGAGATGGAGAATCAATCGAAAAATCGAAACGGTGCGGAAGCGGAGATCGTAATACCGGCGAATGATACCATGTTAGAAACGGGGGAAGAGAGTGCGGTCCCACCAGATGAAGGCGCACCATAAGAGGGTGAGCCTAGATGCACCTTAGTGAGGTTCCATCCCAAAACCAATTGGTGATGGGAGGAGTAGCTCACTAGGCTTATATACTAGACTCATTTTCCCTGTAGAATCAATGTGGGACACTCACAAGTGATATTCCAACAGATATCTATATATGTAAATCGCTGTTTTGCGCCCAATGTAATTGTATTATTACGATTATGTCAACAAAAACTTTTCCTACAAATAAGAGCTTTAGTTATTATGAAAATCGTATCAAGAGAATACATTTTCTATTCTCTCTCTTACCCTCTAGTTTTATAACAAAAAAAAAAAAAAAATGTAATGATAACACTTTAAAATTGCCAAAATTAATATTAAAATTACATTGTGAAAACTAAGTCGAATTTTCAAAGGATGAGTTTATCCACAACTAACCCAACTCTGTCTATCAATTAAAAATTATTTCTCTCTACTCCGCCTACGCAATCCAACCTTAGGGCATCCACAATCCTACAATTCATTCAATCAAATTAACACTCTCTCTCATCCACATTATTTTCACAGCATCTTTCCACTAAATCTATCTCCATTTAAACACACCCACAATCTTTCCATCCATTTAAACACATATATGAGACACATTATCCACTCATTCAATATAAATTTTAATATTCTATTATCTACTAAAATAAAAATTTAATATTTTTAATTTATAATAATAGATTATAAATGCATGAAAATAAAATAACACTACAAGACCAAAATAACTTAAAATAAGACTACACAAGAAAAAAACAGTAGAATTAAAAAATATTTTTTTTTTAGTTGGTGGCAAAATGAGTCTAAATATGCTCAACTAAATCGGCACGAAGTTGATGATGTATTGTGTTATCTCGTATCTATGAACTTCTGCGAATATAATTTTGAAATTATCGATTTTGAAAATTTTTGATTTTTTTTTTCTATTATTGTGATTCATTTTTTAAGCAAATGATCAATTACTAAATTTTATGATGCATGATAGTTATAAAATCGTAGTGTATTTATTATATATATATAAATGAATGAGATGATAAAAATGTAAATTATTGATGCATATTGAGAAGTATGATATGGATAATAATTAAATTAAATATATATAAAAAAAAGAAACAAGAGAAGTTAATAATTTTGATAACTAATAAAAATGACATTAAAATAACATTTAAATCAACAAAAAAAAAAAAAAA